CTCTGTCTGTCTCTCTCTCTCTCTCTCTCTCTCTCTCTCTCTCTCTCTCTCTCTCTCTCTCTCTCTCTCTCTCTCTCCCTCTCTCCCTCTCTTCCTCCCTCCCTCCCTCCTTCCCTCCCTCCCTCCCTTCCTCCTTCCCTCCCTTCCTCCTTCCCTCCCCCCCCATCTTTCTTCCCAAGGTCATTAGCGCCCACCCCTTAAAAAAGAGGCGATGAGTGATTTCCTTTATATTCATAATCTCAGAGATGCTCAGAAAAACCCGAAGAAACATACCAATACCACAGCAACAGCAAAATCACCGGGGGGTGGGGGGGGGGGTATTGGCCTCGTAAATATCGGCCATCACTCCCAGTTGCACAATTTCATGGATATTCGTTTTGGAACCGTGGCATACAAACAAGGAAAAAAAAACGGAGCGATACAAAAAGAAGAGCAGATAAAAGAAAAAAAAAGAAATCAAGGAAAGTATAATGATTTTTTTTCTAATATATGTATGTGTGTGTGTGTGTGTGTGTGTGTGTGTGTGTGTGTGTGTGTGTGTTTGTGTGTGTGTGTGTGAATGTATGTTTGTGTGTGTGTGTTTACGTGTGTGTATACATTTATTCGTTCATTTATTATTTATATTTATTTGTTTTATTGCCATACTTAATGCACAAAGAATCAAACAGCTTCAACGACACAGACCTTCAAAATGCCGGATATTTAGGACATGGCAACTACACATGACTTCAAATAAAAGTACGATACACGCATCAGCAAATTTCAGATAGATATGTGCAACTTTATGGTAAAAATGCTTCAAATATGTATGTATGGTAGACATTATCAGGAGAGTCTCAATCTCTGTTTGTGAGTCCTGTCTGCTTGTCTATTCTTTTCTCTGTCTGTCTGCCTCTGTCTCTTTTGTCTGTTTGTGTTTGTGTGTATGATTGTTTGTTTGTGTGTGTGTGTGCACCTGCGCGCGCGTGTGTTTTTGTGTATGCGTTTGTGTGTATGCATTTGTGTATGCGTTTGTGTGTATGCATTTGTGTGTGTATGTGTGTGTTTGCGTGTGTATGCATTCATAATATGTCTTTTGGAGGTCTGAAGCGCCATGATATTGATGCAGAACACGGCTATAAGAATCATTATAAATCATGTGGATTTTTGCAATGTGCAGTCCACCATGGTACCGCTTCTCGTGTTCTAAATTTTGGCTCCAAGGAATCTCTTATTAGACAAACGTGCTGATACCGAGTCAGTGAATATGCCACAACAAAATAAATGATAAATACCAACACATGGATATGTCAAGTAAACAAATAAAGTACACTCTTTACTCCAGAAAAAATAGATATGATAGTAGCCCTATCATACGAAAAGTTTTTTTTTTTGCATTTTCTGAAGTTGATGTATAAGTATTGAAAATATTTTTTTAATGAACTTTGTGACAAGGTCGGTCACTTTGCCAAGTTAACACAACTTCATCAGAATCTGCCAAACAAACTTACCTTCCATTTTACTTAATGGAAGTTATCGAAACGATGATCATGACACCATCTGGCACTGCAAGGAACGTTAGAAAATCAGTAGAATAAGCTCTAAATAAGCAAGCACTCGGTCATGTAATAATAATAAAAAACAAAAAAAACAAACGCAGCAAAAACATTGTATATCAAAAAAACATTTATCAGGAGACAGATATGCAAAATAACCCTGGATTTTATTTTCAAGTCTAAAGATGAAATTCAAATCTATTTCAAAACTGTTATGTCATCTGATGATATATTTCTTCCATGGGTATGTATTTATCTTTTGCCAAGGATAAGATCCGGAAAATCTGCAATGTTCTCTCTCGGTTAAAGATTATAATAACAATACTAGATGCAGGATAACAACACACCGTGCTTTATCAACAGGATGCAAACGTGACTGCAACATCCTTTCAGATACCATATCCATATTCACTGTAGACGCCATTACATAAAAAAATTATACTACCAATCATCTAGCATTATCCGATATCATGACTTTTTTTGTTTGTTTGTTTCTTACAATAAGCAAGATCTGTTTTCTTGTACAAGTCATATATATATATATTAATACATATATTTTTCTACTATCCTATCGATCAAATATTAATGTCCAGAGGATATCACATGTTGGCTATATTTCTTTATCCTATATATAAAATAATAATAAAAATAATGATAATACAAGTTGTCACAATACTAATACTAATAATAATGATAATATATCTATTACTATATGTCTGTAATACATTAATTTTACTACCCCTCTCCATTTTAGTATTTAAGGTCAAGAGAGAACGACTTTGAAATCCTGATGTAACAATATATATATATAGCTAGAGAGAAAGAGATACATATCTATGTATATGCAGTATTTACAGTTAAGACTTTGAAATCTCGATGTAACAATGTATATGTGTATATATATAAGTATGTATATACGTACTTATTTAGACACAGTTGTATATGTGTATGTCTTTATAGGAGTGTCTTACCAATACCCTTCTCCAAGATCCAGGCTAGAAAGGCGACATGGGCGCGATCTCCAAGACCCTGCTGTTGTGGGCGGCCATGCTGCTGTGGTGCGGGCGCGCGCTGGGGCAGAGCGACACGGTGGAGGTACAGCTGCAACAGGGCCGCATCTCCGGCGTGAGGGAGGAGATCGCCGGGGTATCCTTTTACGGCTTCAGGGGCATCCCTTACGCCCAGCCTCCGACGGGGGAGCTAAGGCTTCAGGTCGGTTTAAGGGGCGCCTTCAAGGAGTACATGCATGCAAGCACAGGCAGAGACACTACACTAACACACGCGCACACATATATGCGTATATATACATATACGTTTGTGTGTGTGTGTGTGTGTGTATGTGTGTGTGTGTATGTGTATGTGTGTGTGTGTGTGTGTGTGTGTGTGTGTGTGTGTGTGTGTGTGCATGCATATATGTAGACGTACATATGCACACAGTCAATTCATTTTTTTTTATTATTACTGACACCAATATTCATAATATTTACCGTCATCACCCAGCGTCACGAACACAATACCTGAACAACTGAACTGTTCACCCTGACAACTGCTTCCACCACAGGACCCCGTCGCTGCAGAGGCGTGGGAGGGGGTGAGAGACGGGTCGGTGGCGCCCCCCCTGTGTCCTCAGCTGACAGAAGTCGACGGGGAAACAGCTGTGGCCGGCCAGGAGGACTGCCTCTACCTTAGTGTCTACACGTCGAGGGTATATCTATGCTGCCTGTTTTTTGTTGTCGCTTCTATTATCATCATTTGTACTATCATGGTCATTCTTCTTTTGTCGCTACTATTATTATCATCATTGGTACTATCTTCTGGTACTTTTACCATTATTTTGATTACGTTTTCGCCGTTGTTGATGTAATTGATTATGTCCTAATTTTGTTGATCATTGCCATCATTATTATCACTACCAATTTTATATTTCTTGTTCAGAATATAACAGTGGTTTCCAAAGCGGGTACCACGGCGATGGGCACTATTCTTCGTCCAAGCTCAGGAAAGGAAAAAGTGGCATTTCAACCCGAATTATATAAATATAACAATATAAAACACAACATATATGAATATAAAACACAAAATTGAAATTACGTATTAATTGTCAACTGATTAGAATTTAGAAAAAAAAAACGTTTAGGGTGAGGACTTTCCTGAGAGGGGACGCACTTTATAAGTTTATAAAGTGAAATAAAATCTACGGATATAACACGCCAGTGCTTAATTAATGTTGCTTGGATCCCCCTAAAAAGACCAAAAAAAAAGGTTACATGATCCGCATACACAGTAGTATAGCAAAGATGCGCATGATTACAATTCGTTTTATTTACATTTTGTTAAGGCCAACATGTCTCTTCGTGTATTGGTATTTGTATTTTAAATCCTTTAAATTCTTATTGTGATTTTTTCTTCTCACTTGGGCTTTTAACACTTACACACACTCATATATACATCGAGTGTGCGTTATCTGTATATATGTATATACACATGGAATCACGATACATGATATTTACCCACATCATAATAACACTAACCCCGCCCCCTCCCCCTCCCCCCCCTCTGAAGGCATACCCGTCCGACATGCCCGTGATGGTGCTGATCCATGGTGGGGGTTTTCTCGTAGGGGGGTCAGAGGAGCAGTACCCCCCCATGCCCCTGCTGAAGAGGGACGTGGTGCTCGTCGTTCTGCAGTATCGCCTGGGCACCTTAGGTCAGGTCAATAGGGTATGACCTCGGTTTACCCTTGGCTTCCGAGTGTAGTAGTTGCAGTTCTGGTTAATACCTGTCGGTTACTAATAATTATGACCTGAATGATGTTTAGCGTAACTTAGAACGTGATGGTATACCTTGCAATACATATTATAATATAACGATATAGCATATGACATGGTATAATGATTAAGACTGATAGACTGCTATTATAATCACTATCATTATCATCATAAATACTATCATTCTTAATACTAACAATCATTATCATTATCACCCCCCCACAGGATTCCTCTCAACGGAAGACGCGGTGATGCCAGGGAACCTCGGCCTCAAGGACCAGACGCTGGGCCTCCTCTGGGTCAAGGAGAACATCCGTGTCCTCGGCGGCGACCCCTTCCGCGTGACCTTGTTCGGGCAGGGAGCGGGGTCGGCGGCGGCACACATGCAGGTCCTCAGTCCTAAGGCCGCTGGTCAGTTCTGCGGGGTTGATTTCCTCTGGATTAAACTTGTAGATTGATCCATTCTCATTCTGTATATTAAAAGCTTGTTCAACCGAATTCTGTATTGGAATCGTACATTGATTTCCTCGCGCCCTAGCCTTGTTCAGTTGATTTTTGTTTTGCACTTGTACACCGATTTCTTCTCATTCTGTACAGTGAGTCTTGTTCAACCGAATTTCGTATTGCAATTGTACATTAATTTCCTCGCGTTCTGTCCGCCTAGGCTTGTTCAACCGAGTAATTCTCCAGTCCGGCAACGCACTCAGTCCTTGGGCGCTGAGGTGCGACCACAGAAAAAATGCTGCTGTGATAGGTGAGGCTTTCGGCTGCCCAGGAGTGAATGCGTCGTCACCTGCTGACTTGAACAGCACCGCACTGCTCGACTGCCTTCGAGAACTCCCCTTTGAACAGCTGACGGTCATCCCTTCGGCTTTTGTGGTGAAAATTTTACTGTTTTCATTATCATTATTTTCTATTTTTATTTTTTTCCTCATTAATGTTATGAAATGCCGTTGTTATTATTATCTTCATTATTACTGTGACTTACCATTGTTATCCTTATTACTATGCTTTGTCATTGTTATTATTATCTGCATTATCATTATGACGGTTATATTTGTTACCACTGCCATGTTCACTATCATTCTTACTGTTATCATCTGTGACTTTTTGTTATAACGCACATTGCTTTTTATACTATGAATATATTTTCCCTTATTATTAGCTGTCGATAACAATACAATTTCTATAAATACATTTTAGGTCAAAGGATTTCCCATTACTTCCAGACATTAGGTCGTTTGGATCACGTGTTATACATATTATTGTACAGTCACGATTAAGACCGTCATTGTTTAGGTTAGGTGATTTTGAAGCCTCAGATACATAAAAATACACAAATCACACTTTATCTCTCTCACACACACTCAAACAAACATACCCAAACACTCACACCCTACACTTTCCTTCAAACGTACGAGCACAACTACAGACCCATATTGAAACAAACACACATACACTCCCCCCCTCCCCACTCAAACAACCACATATGCGCAGACAACCACTCAACCACACCCCCACCTCACACACTCAAATCAAGCACGTGTTCGCAGGTGTGGCTCAACGCCCCCCAGGTGATGACCCCGCGCGTGGATGGTACCTTCCTGCCCGCCCACCCCGCCCACCTCCTGAAGGACGGCCTCTTTAACAGGGTCAGCCTCATCTCGGGCATTAACCAGCAGGAAGGAGCCTTGCCTGCTCTCGGTATATATTTTATATTTTATTTACTTTGTTTATTTTTGTGTGTTTTGTTGGTCTTTGTTTGTTGTGGTGTCTGGTCTGGTTTCGTTCTTTTTCCCCGTCCAGCTGTGTCTCATTTTCATTATGTTTTCTATTCATTCTCCTCTTTCGCTTCTCACTGAGTCCGTATCTGTCTATTGCTCTCTTTCTCTCTCTCTCTCTCCCTCCCTCCCTCTCTTTTCAAAACCCGACAGATAGAAAACCACAACCTATGAAAATACCCGAAAAGGGGGAAAAAAAATAGCAACAACAAAGAACGCACTTCTCTTTTGATCTGATTTCGCCGTTCCCTTCCAGCCACACTCACGACTCCCTTCCTGAATGAGGCGCTGACGGAGAACTTCTCGCAGGTAGGTCCGATCATCCTGAATGTGCAGGATGAGGAGAACGCCGTCTTCTTGTCTCGTCGGGCCTTTAACGCTTACCTGCCGCAGTATCAGGTTAATGAGGACACCGTCGGGGATTTCGCCAAGGTTTGTAGGCCTGTCTCGGTTTAGCTAATTTTTTCCTTCATTTCTTTAATGGAGAAAGTTAGTAGTCAACGTATTGGTGAATATATCGGATAATTTGTGGTGTACAGCATTTCTTTAAAGATATATATATATTCTTGAGATAATTCATATACTAAAAAAATCAAGTACGAAAGTGAATGGATATCTTCACAGTGATTATATTTTCGTCAGAGTGAACTTTATATCCAATCGTATTTCCATTTCTAGTTTGAACTGAGAGAGAGAAAAAAAAAATAGCTTGACAGACTGACGAAAGTAAAGAGAACCAATTCACATCGAGTTACCAAACTGACGAAATTAAAAAACAAACATTTTCATGGAATTACCTTTTTTTTAAATATCTTAGCTCTTAGGTGACGAAGCTTTCCGAGTCCCGCACCGAGAAGTGGTTCGGCTCCACAGCAAGGCCGGGGGTCTCGTGTTCGCCTACGAGCTGAAGCACCGCGGCCTCCAGAGTCTCACAGATCTCTTCAACACGTCCGCTGGGGATTCGTGTAAGTAGAGGCGTCTTTGGTGTGTCTTTATTCCTTCGTTTGGTGGGGTTGCTTACTTCCTGTTTTGGTGGTTTTCCTTTGCTTCTTGGTTTAGTGGTGTTTCTCCTTTATTCTTTCGTGTGGTGGCGTTCCGTTCTTACTTCATAAAGTAGCGGTGCTCATTTTTTTTTTAGTGGTGTTCATTTGGTAAAACTAACTCGGACTACATCCATCCATGAAAATAATGATGTCAGTTAATTAAACTGCGGGGACGATAACCCTCGTTATCTCGAAGCATCGCAAATGTAAACAATAATGTGTTTCCTAGGAAGGCCACAGATGGCTCTGCCCAACCCCTCCTAAATTAGTATCGAGCTAAATACCCTCTACTGCTGTTTTTACACCTGTCTTACTCGTTATGTTTTGAACATTATCATACATGATTTATATATTTTTTACACTTTGCCTTATGACGAAACCTTACTTAATGTAATATAAGCGTAGTCGAAACATCACTTGACTAGCGCATATCTACAGGCAACTGTGCATTGATGTGCAGCAGTTCCAGCTCAGAGGTTACCCCAAACTTACCCTCATACACCCTGGATAGAGAGAGCTGGGGGTACTGGAGCAAGTTTGCCTCACTTTCTGCCCCAAAGTCCTCCACTTTATTCCTTCAAGTGACAGACAGATGATATCACAAGATTACCTACGACATTCTCCGATTATACCATCTTGAGAACCGATTGAAAAGGTTCTGGCACGCGCCACGTGTAAATTTGGTCAGAAATCAGCGTGCCACATGTGATTTACCATGTGCCACATGTTGCACTTTTCCCACATCGTCTGCTGGTGTTCTTCCCCACCCCCCTTCGTCTAGTGGTGTTCATTCTCTCTTCCTTTGTCTGTTTCGAAAAGCAACCTAAAAGGCAAAGGCAGGTCTTTTAGTTCCTAAGAAGACTTGCTTTGTTGTGTTGCCTTTCATGGGCTCTTTGCATTATTTTTGTAAAAGGAAAAGAAGGGTTGGTATGTGATGGTGACTATGGAAAATTAATTGTTTTTGTGATATCATCGGACTCTGAGATTTATACATTATGATTTCTTCACTTATTGAATATCAGTATATTTGTTATTTAACATAGTGTTATGTAAAGTGTGTATGTAAGTATATATGTATGTATATATATGTATATTTGTATGTATATATGTAGGTATGTGTGTCTTTGTACGTGTATTTACGTGTATGTAAATATTAATGTATTTATATATGTATGTTTGTATGCATGTGTGCAAGTATACAATGTATGTATGTATAAATGAATACTCAGGTATGCCTTATCCCTATGACTACCCCCCCCCCTGCCACCTCCAGGGGTGAGTAACGGCGACGACCTCCAGTACCTGTTCAATGGCACGATCTTCCCGCCCTTGAGGAATCTGGACGACCGGCGCCTTAGTGACCTTATAGTGATCATGTGGACAAACTTCGCAGCCACAGGGTAAGGCTACGCGAGGATGCCGACTTGGGATCGCTTGCAGGAGTTTTCTAGTTGGTGAGCAAGGAAACGAGAGAAAGAGGGGGGTGGGAGGTTGGGAGAGGGATTAGGAAGGGAGGAGAGGGAGAAGAGTAGGGAGAATGAGAGTAAGGAGAAGAATAAAACAGGATATGCAAAAAAAAAAGACTAATAGAGAAAATGAAATAAATAGATAAATGCAAATTAGTGCTCCGGTTTCCTGGCCAGGTACCCGACGCCCGACAATGCCCTAGGCTTCTGGTGGTCGCCCGTGAGGTCCTGTTCTCCCCTGCCCTATCTCTGCCTCATGCCCACGCCCATCATGGCCTGGGATGGGCGTAGTTCCGTAAGTACTTGTGATCAGAATCTAAATACTAACGTAAGTAACAAGGAATGACTTCGAATCCGTGTGTTCAATCTTTTGTTCCATTTGCTTCAAAGAAAATGAAATTTTTCTCAGAATGGCAATTGGATTTAGAAATATATGTTTTTCCTACTTTCATGGATTTCATATGATTGGAGTTTTCGTGAATCATCAACATCATAATTATTTTTTTTAAGATAGTGTTTACGAGGTTAGGTTTACAACATCATTTCCGTGCTATTATTGTGATCTAGCTCTCTCGGAAGCTAAGAGAAGGAGAGAGAGAAAAAAAGAAGAGAGTGAAAAAGAAGACATTCCTTAACGAAGCTTCCTCTTACAACTCTTTTTTATTCGCCCATCAGTTTCTTATTCGCCCATCAGTTTCTTATTCGCCCATCTACTTTCCCCGTTTTTATCAGTACTCTCTCTTCCCCAGATGTACGAGTTTTGGACGAGCCTCCCCACCTTCCAGAACCGCGTCCTAAACCCACAGTATTTCACTCACTCGTCAGGGGGATTTGGACGACCGCTGTTCCATGGAGCGACCGCCACCCCCTGGCCCAACAGCCCCTTCCTCCCCGCTCACCGATTCGGACGACGGCGGTGAGAGGGAGGGGAGGAGGGGAAGCGAGAATGGGAATAGTCGGAAAAGGGGAGTCGGGAATGGTGGGGATGGGGCTTATGTGAGAGACAGGGGGTGCAAATGGGGGGGTGGGGGGGAGAAAGAAGACAGGGAAATTTGTACAATTTATATATTTATGTAGAGATTTTGAATCTACAGTTAGGATCGAGCTTCCATCAGAGGTATACATGCCACGAGTTTTACACACGCACGCACGCACACACGCACACACACACACACACACACACACACACACACACACACACACACACACACACACACACACACACACACACACACACACACACACGTAATATATATTGTGTATGTGAACAAACACAGTAACACATACACAAACAAAGAAACACTTCCAGAATATGAACAGTAAAAGAACGTACAGTTTCGAGCTTGCCAGGAGTTCTCAACGGACGTGCCTCATTTGGCCAGTACTTTTATAGTTCTAGATTAGGCATTCCGTTTTCTGGTTGTGAACGTCACCGCATACTTGGTAAGCTACATCGATGACTGTAGCTTAGATTACCTGGAGAAGTTTCTCTGATTACTTAATGAAGAGACTCTTACTCAGTTTATAGGTAATCTGTTAATGATTCAACGTCATCAAAGACTCTTCCACAATAAGCTTAATAAACTTTACTCGCGTAGCCCCTGGTGTAGTTTTTCATCCACTGTTATATACACTTACGTGCTTTGAAGCTGAATCGTCACCAAATCCAGCGCGGAAAAAAAATGTATTATAGTGAAGATCTTGATGGTTTGATTCGGGAACCATGTAAATTCTTTAAGGTGTCATGATAAATTCCTTTCTTGATGTGTTTGATGGTATAGCCCGAAGCTAGATATAGAGCTTCAGTCTCTCTGTTCGTATTCCTTCTATATTCAAAGTAATTGCCGATATCCATCCTCCTCTTCTTAAAGTTCCTCCTCCCACTCTCTCCTAACACCCCATCCTTTCTTTCTCCGTGTGCACCCCCATTCCCTCTTCTTTTCCCACTATCCTTACCGCTCCCACACGGATGCTTACGTGACTCCCTTATGTCTCTTTGGAAGCTTCCCCTCCTGAGATTCTTCCTTATACTTCACCACCTTCCTCTATTATTCTCCATCCTACGTCTCCAACACTCTGTCTGTATTACCTGTGTGTACCCATTTCGGTTTATACTACATCCCTTGGAGAACTCTTGGAGGAGAAAAGAGGAAGAGTGGGAAGGAGGAGAAAAGAGGAAGAGTGGGAAGGAGGAGAAGAAAGGAAGAAGGGGAAGAGGAGAAAAAAGGAAGAAGGGGAAGGAGGAGAGAAAAGAGAGAGAGAAAGATAGATAAAAATAGGAAGGAAATAGATATAGATAGATAGGCAGATAGATAGATAGATAGATAGACAGAGAGAGAGAGAGACGAGAGAGAGAGAGAGACGAGAGAGAGAGAGAAAGAGAGAGAGAGAGACGAGAGAGAGAGAGAAAGAGAGAGAGAGAGACGAGAGAGAGAGAGAGCGAGAGAGAAAGTGAGAGTGAGAGAAAAGAGAGAGAGAGAGAGAGAAAGAAGAAGAGTGGGAAGGAGGAGAAAGAAGAAGAGTGGGAAGGAGGAGAAAGAAGAAGAGTGGGAAGGAGGAGAAAGAAGAAGAGTGGGAAGGAGGAGACAAGAGGAAGAATGGGAAGGAGGAGAAAAGAGGAGAATGGGAAGGAAGAGAAGAGGAAGAATGGGAAGGAGGAGAAAGAGAAGAATGGGAAGGAGGAGAAAAGAGGAAGAGTGGGAAGGAGGAGACAAGAGGAAGAATGGGAAGGAGGAGAAAAAAGGAAGAAGGGGAAGGAGGAGACAAGAGGAAGAATGGGAAGGAGGAGAAAAGAGGAGGATGGGAAGGAAGAGAAGAGGAAGAATGGGAAGGAGGAGAAAAGAGGAAGAGTGGGAAGGAGGAGACAAGAGGAAGAATGGGAAGGAGGAGAAAAGAGGAAGAAGGGGAAGGAGGAGAAGAAAGGAAGAATGGGAAGGAGGAGAAGAAAGGAAGAATGGGAAGGAGAGAAAAGAGGAAGAGTGGGAAGGAGGAGAAAGAAGAAGAGTGGGAAGGAGGAGAAAAGAGGAGAATGGGAAGGAAGAGAAGAGGAAGAATGGGAAGGAGGAGAAGAAAGGAAGAATGGGAAGGAGGAGAAAAAAGGAAGAAGGGGAAGGAGGAGAAGAAAGGAAGAATGGGAAGGAGGAGAAAGAAGAAGAGTGGGAAGAGGAGAAAAGAGGAAGAGTGGGAAGGAGGAGAAAGAGAAGAATGGGAAGGAGGAGAAAAAGGAAGAAGGGGAAGGAGGAGAAAAAGGAAGAAGGGGAAGAGGAGAAAAGAGGAAGAAGGGGAAGAGGAAGAAGAGGAAGAATGGGAAGGAGGGGAAAGAGGAAGAATGGGAAGGAGGAGAAAAGAGGGAGAATGGGAAGGAAGAGAAGAGGAAGAATGGGAAGGAGGGGAAAAGAGGAAGAATGGGAAGGAGGAGAAAAGAGGAAGAAGGGGAAGGAGGAGACAAGAGGAAGAATGGGAAGGAGGAGAAAAAGGAAGAAGGAGGAGAAAAGAGGAAGAGTGGGAAGGAGGAGAAAAGAGGAAGTATGGGAAGGAGGAGAAAAGAGGAAGAAGGAGGAGAAAAGAGGAAGAGTGGGAAGGAGGAGAAAAGAGTAAGAATGGGAAGGAGGAGAAAAGAGGAAGAATGGGAAGGAGGAGAAAAAAGGAAGAAGGGGAAGGAGGAGAAAAGAGGAAGAATGGGAAGGAGGAGAAAAAGAGGAAGAAGGGGAAGGAGGAGAAAAGAGGAAGAAGGGAAGAGGAGAAAGAAGAAGAGTGGGAAGGAGGAGAAAGAGAAGAGTGGGAAGGAGGAGAAAAGAGGAAGAGTGGGAAGGAGGAGAAAAGAGGAAGAGTGGGAAGGAGGAGAAAAGAGGAAGAATGGGAAGGAGGAGAAAGAAGAAGAGTGGGAAGGAGGAGAAAAGAGGAAGAAGGGGAAGGAGGAGAAAAGAAGAAGAGTGGGAAGGAGGAGAAAAAAGGAAGAAGGGGAAGGAGGAGAAAAAAGGAAGAAGGGGAAGGAGGAGAAAAAAGGAAGAAGGGGAAGGAGGAGAAAAAAGGAAGAAGGGGAAGGAGGAGAAAAAAGGAAGAAGGGGAAGGAGGAGAAAAAAGGAAGAAGGGGAAGGAGGAGAAGAAAGGAAGAAGGGGAAGGAGGAGAAAAAAGGAAGAAGGGGAAGGAGGAGAAGAAAGGAAGAAGGGGAAGGAGGAGAAAAAAGGAAGAAGGGGAAGGAGGAGAAGAAAGGAAGAATGGGAAGGAGGAGAAGAAAGGAAGAATGGGAAGGAGGAGAAAAAAGGAAGAAGGGGAAGGAGGAGAAAAAAGGAAGAAGGGGAAGGAGGAGAAGAAAGGAAGAATGGGAAGGAGGAGAAAAAAGGAAGAAGGGGAAGGAGGAGAAAAAAGGAAGAAGGGGAAGGAGGAGAAGAAAGGAAGAATGGGAAGGAGGAGAAGAAAGGAAGAATGGGAAGGAGGAGAAAAAAGGAAGAAGGGGAAGGAGGAGAAAAAAGGAAGAAGGGGAAGGAGGAGAAAAAAGGAAGAAGGGGAAGGAGGAGAAAAAAGGAAGAAGGGGAAGGAGGAGAAAAAAGGAAGAAGGGGAAGGAGGAGAAGAAAGGAAGAAGGGGAAGGAGGAGAAAAAAGGAAGAAGGGGAAGGAGGAGAAAAAAGGAAGAAGGGGAAGGAGGAGAAAAAAGGAAGAAGGGGAAGGAGGAGAAAGAAGAAGAGGGGGAAGGAGGAGAAAAGAGGAAGAGTGGGAAGGAGGAGAAAAAAGGAAGAAGGGGAAGGAGGAGAAAGAAGAAGAGTGGGAAGGAGGAGACAAGAGGAATAATGGGAAGGAGGAGAAAGAGAAGGGAAGACATGTTGAATAATTCTCTTCACAATCTAGATTTTCTACTTGGAGCACAAACATAGGAAAGTTGAAAAGAGGACCAACGAAAAATATCATTTCTTACGGGTATAGGTCATACGTCATGATTTGTGACTGTTATGCCCTTTTCTCTGCGCATCGTACTTGTGCATACTACTTTTTAGTATAGTATAGTTAGGTATAGTTAATAATTCGTACATAAGCGTTTCTCAGTGGCGGAAGTAAGCCTGAGGAGCAATGTTGGCAACTCTGAACTACTGAATTGCTTCCTATATATAAATGGATAAATGTCCGAAGAGCAAAGGAAAAGGTGGTTGTAGGATAGAATGCAGTAGAAGTTGGGATGGAACGTTCAGAGTGCCTAGGGCGACATGTAAGTGAAAAGGAGAAAGGGTAGGCACCGAGGAAGCGGTAGAGATTGGAGTATCTTGATTTGGACTTTAAAAGGACTTTGGGTGAAGGAGAGAGGGAATAGAGATTAAGGGTAGAACGAAGAGATGCTGAATCTAAGAGTTTGAATCTAAGAACTGTTACCTCCGATTCGAGCTTGTAGGTAGGTTAGGTTCTATAAAATATGTTATGGGAGCCAGCACAATTGGCACACGCGCATGACTAAGCAGAACAATCTGAACGGTCATGACCAGGTTGTGCACATAGAAGGCAGCGGACTGTGGAGTGTCATTGTTTGGCCAGGGCAGGACACACACCTTATGTCTCTTTGGAAGCTTCCCCTCCTGTATAAACTTCAATATAAACTTCATGGAGGAGGTCTTGGCATCATTGGTGTAGGACTTACGCTTACCTCTGGGAAGAATAGCATCATAGCCAACGAGGAATGAAAGCAGGTCGTTTTCACAGCCTAACCAGTCCTTGTTGTGGACAGGGCAATCAGGAGGGGTAATAGCTCGAGTACAATAATCAAGGGTGGAGTGAGGTTGCAAATCTTTATGTAGCTGTAACAAGGCGTGAACGATCGGAATGACTGCAAAAGGAAAATTTGCCTATTTGTTTTTTGGAGAGAGTTAGATGAGAAGGTTATTGTCAGAGTAAGGGGCTGTAAGGGGAATCACAAAGAAGAGATCCCACTTGGCT